TGTCCAGGAGACGCAGGCACTCATATCCATATTTATTTCACCATGATCATCATTACAGCCTTTCATAAATCCACTGCTGGACAAAGGCCTCCCCCAAGGAATGCCACAAAGCACGGTCTTGAGCCACCCGCATCAATCGACTTCCTGCATCTCTTACCAGGTCGTAAGAATTGCAACTCTTCATTTACACTTTTTTTACTTACCATAACTCAGTGCTTGAACACAATCCCACCCGCTGGCTTACTGTAATGTTTTTTCTTGGCACATTTTGACCACGGCGCCCAGTTTGGAAAACTGTGCGCAAAATGTATCCTTGATTTTTTTTTTTGCGAACTACTTGGATCAAATACATCAAATCTAAAGTACCCAACTTAGCGAATCGCAGAGGCAACAGAAGTGCAAAACGTCTGGGACAGTAACTGACAATACAATTAAGTTTCTGAGTAGGGTTGAATACAAATACTACCGTAATAATTTAGAATTTATCCAGAAATTAAAGCAAACCGAGAAACATTTTTTGTAATATTATCTAAGTTATACCATAAACATAATCCAATGATGTCGTAAAGTCGGCGCAAAGTCATTAAAGTCAATATGGGCAAAGGAAATCCTTCTTAAATTAATTCAATGCTCGTGATGCACATCAAAGTGTCCCTTTGTGTTTAACTAAACGGAACGAATGCATTTTATAATACCGGGTATATGAAACATTACAGTTTAAAATTGTTGTAAAATCGCATTACCTACATTAACGTGTATGCATGTAAATGAAAAAGGAAACAAAAAAACGTGTATGTAGTTTTGAAATCATGAACATCTTATTCTTCAGAAATATAAAATACAATTTTTTTTCAAACGAATTTTTTGTATGTAAAAAACATGCAATCGTTCAGTGTTGGGCCTAAATCTGCATTCACAGTTGTATAAAAGTGAAATGGTAGTACAGGCGCATAATTGTTGGTTTTGAAAATTGTAGATAATGAATATATGAGTTCTTGAATGCTTTACAAATACGAAACACAGCAGCATTAAACAACTATTTTACGCTGGCGTTCTGTGAGAGTGTGGTTTTTCCCCGGTCGGGCCGACCTATTGGTGCATCATGGCTAAAACGTAGCGTGTTTTTTGGATAACTTTAAGTCGTCGTGTGTCCTTGAAGTTGTAGTAGTTATTAATTTTACATGTGAGAATTTTGAAAATTTTTAAATAATAATAATAAATTGGGAAAACTAGTACTGAAATACAAAATGGCCGATAACTTTTTCATGTATTAAGGGGAAATAAAATCTCAAATGGCTTAGCAAGATCCTTCGTTATGCCGAAAATATTGCAGCATTAATTTTGAAATAAATATATGGTAAAGTTAAGGATTAATGTTAAGGATTATGTTAGACGAAAACACGATTTCGTAAAATTTTCTCGATAGAAAAAAAATCCAAAATTACCTCCAAAATAAACAATAAACCGCTGTTATTCATAAAATACTTTAAATAAGATCATGAAACTTTGCATACTAACTGAACTAACTATAAAGCAGTGCTTTTGTTATTTACTTTTTTTTAAATACCATTATTTTCACTGTAAAAAGAAATTACCTAAACTATCGGCCTTTTGAAGCGTGATTCCTGCCGCACGGTCACTTCGCTTCGGCCTTTAAACGGGGAGGTTGTGTCGCTTACGATCAGAATATACATTACGCAACAGGACGACGTAAAATTAAAATGGGAAATAACCGTAATAAAAATAAGAAGCGACTGGCTTGGCGTTAAGAAACATGCAACAAACATATGATAAACCTAATGAAATAAGTGTCTAACGACCTTTCTACTTACAGTATTAGTGATTACAAACATGTCGGTACATAGCATACGACGCGCGGGCAAGTGGGGACGAAATTAGAATTTGAGCTGACTTACTCTATCCACTTAACAACCTTTTTTAAAAACGTAATTAAAGTAACATTACTAAAAGTTACAAGTAGAATATTTCTCAAGAGAATATAAATTCCAATTGGTATCATAACAATTTCCTCAATCGTATTATATTAGTTTTCAACTCGTCGCTCTGCGATCGGATATCCTTTTTACAGTCATTTGATTGCATAGATTATGCAGTTCAACGTCTCGATAGCATTTTACCAGTAGTCGCGAATGCATTATTGATTTATTTTAAATGTTGTACACTAAAACAATAAGTATAAATATATTAAATCTAATTTTTTGCCAGTCTGTTTTAAGTCTAGTTGCTTGGCTTATGCCCTTTTAACACTGGTACAGCTGAAACGCGTTTCTTAAATGAGTTGCCTATCTTTAACCAGCTCAGGTATGCAGTTAGGTAAGTAAAGAACCGATACCTTAACATTAATAATGCTGCTTTTCATCACTAGTCCGTAGGATTTTACTTATTTGATCTGTTACTAGTATTCTTTATTTTATTTTTTAAAGAGTACTCTTTATTTTATTTTTAATATTTGATGAATTTAAGAAATTTTTAGATTTCAGTGTGGTCGTCGTGCGCTTCTCGATTTTTTTTTTGCAAATAAGTCTTCAGCTTCAGCTCTGTTTATTTAAGCGTGTAGTCGTTATGTTAAAACATGAAGTTTCTATGATAGCATAGGATTTCATATGAAGGACATAATATTTTATAAACATCCACTGACGTGATCACATTGCGTAACTTTTATGATTCCTAGAGTTGTTGATATCTATTCATTTTGACGTGTTTATGAGTCTTGTCACAGTTATTAATTATAACAAATTCAGTATCAGGACCAGGGAGAGGTAGTATAATTCACGGGCGCAGCAGTGGGGAGCAGGTCTTTTTGACGATTAAATTTTTAGTTTTAGGTTTTCTTATTATAGTTTCTTCTTTTATATTGTATATATAATTGTTTTAATTGTAAATATTATATTTTTATTTTTTAAGTTATTTTTTATAATGTTAAATATTATATTAATGAATTAAATAATTTTCAAAAGACATTGAAGCAGAAGTGTATTTCTTTGTCAAATTATTTTAACTTAGCACATTACCCTATGGATATGTACCAACTGTGTAATTGTAAATTTCAGTTTTAGCAACTTAGCGAAACAAAAAATCTATTAAAATCATTAAAACTGTATCTTTGTGATGAAACACATAATTTTTCTAGTGGCATTTAATAAACTAAGAATTTTGATAGATCTTTGTGCCTTTTAAAACCACATATAAAAGAGTTCCGTATTATGTGACGAAAAAAGTAACACTTTAACACATACGGTATACGCCTAGAAGTCCGTCTGAATTGATACAATACTCTTAAATATACCTTTAAGAATATTTGTGTAAAGCTATATGTAAACTTTATGACGGCTCTAAGGCGCAGTGGCTTAGCAATGAGTGGCTGCGCTAAGGGCCGCGGGTTCAAATCCCGTACGGACATGTATCTGTATGGTCTACAAATAATTGTTCCGGGTCGGGATGTTTGTCGTTGTGCAATTTTTATGTTCATAAATTCTAGTGTAGGGGTAACATTTTAAAACAACAAATAAAAAGACAAAAAAAAACTGAAAAAATAAAAGGGCGAATAGCTCAGTGTATTTTACAACTGCTTATCTGTGTTTATATACTTGTTAGGTTTTTTTTAATAGGATAAGGGTGGCAAATGAGCACACAGTACACCTGATGGTAAGTATTTGCTGTGGCCCATAGACATCTACATCTATCCTCGTTTGCGAATCAAAATGCAGATGCGTTGTCATTGCTAACCGCGAGGAATAAGATGGAATGCCTCTTTTCCAGTAAGAAGGGTCTCCGGTTCTCTACACTCACCATGCGAAACACAGCAGCATGAAGCTGCTATTTTACGCTGGTATTCTGTGAGAGCACGGTCCTTCCCCAGTCGAGCCGACCCATTCGTGCTACAACCATACAATTAATATAACTGATGCATGGCTCTACCACGTATACATAAGTAGAAAAAGTTGTCTAAATTATGGACTGCTATATTTTTATTTAATGCAATTAAGAACGTAATACATTGTGCATAAAATTAAGGGACGTGCTAAAAATAGTTAATGTTTATAAATTAGTTGTACATCTAAGTATGAAATTTATCAGAAATGTAAATCCAAATAATAACATAACAGTTACAAAATAAGATAATATAGAAGTTCAGTCATAACTAATATATCACAGACCGCCGGCGTGTATGATCTGTACTGTGATCGGCAATCAATTTAACCAGCAACCTACTAAGCTGAGACATTACCAATGTCCAGCAGTGAGTCGTTGAAAGGCTGATGATGAGTACATAAAATAGTAGCAGTCGCTATCGATTCTCAAGTTTAAGTGTGCAGTTTGAGCTGGTATACTTAAAAGTATTGATGGTTCAATCATCTGTTTTTGAATGTTCCGGTACAACCAGTCACAAACAACTGACGGAAACTTTTTAACACGTGATTAGTGTGAATTGTAAATGAGTCGAAAAGCGAAAGAATCCCGAATGATCTGAATGAATTGTTTTTAGTGTAGGTTACTGTGGAGCCCGAAATGATCCATTTGAATGATCGATCCGAATGTACCGGTACACGCGATGAAATGTACTATAATATTATAGAATGATTCGGTCACGAGAAATGAATGATTGACACATGTCTAGTGTGCAGATCAGTGAACGCAAGGTGCTGTCGATTTTTAAACGAACGTGCCGAATTCAATGGAACTTTTAATGGCTAACACTGAAGATTTTGCAGTAAGAAAAATATATTGTAACGATTTTTACTAGGTGCTCTATATTAATAAATAAATCTGAAGAAAGAACAGACAATTTCTTAAGGAAGATAGTCGTAGCGATTTACCTTGCCCTTGTACTTGAATCGGTTTTAAGGTGTTTATTGTATTACTATTAACTCACGTTCGTCTCGAAAATCAAGTTCATTTAAACAATCTGGTTTAACCGGTTTGTATGTTAACGCTGCCAGTAATATATCTACATTAAAAACAACTTATAATATACTCACCAAAGTATTGAGATCAGCATTAATATCCTCGATGTGATTAATTGGACCATTCTGTTCCCCGGACACTGAGCACAGAATCCTTTTTCTATGTCCAGGCTTCTGTATTTCAAGTACAGCTGTCAACTCTACTTCCCAAATTCTCCTTACTCTGTCCATATCTACGTATAAATGTTTCCTGAACGTATCACTATATTGTTCTAAATTAATATTCCTTAGCCATTCATCTACAGTTTCAATTTGGTTTTTACTTATATTATTATTGTTATAGTTATTGCTTATTTCTGCTATTTTAAGAGGTAATTGTTTCGCCGATTCTAGTATTTTTTGTCTGTCGTTTTCTTCGATTCCCATTTCGCGTAGGTCGTTATCATCAAGTATGCCATTCTGAAAACAAATCGCCAAATTAACCATATTGAATGGAGCCATTAAGCCTATTTAAGTTGCTATTAAACTACTTGCGCCTCTTCCGTTTGTAGATGTACTTACAAATCAATGCCAATTAAAATACTTCACACGTTTATCACTACCGGGCGTCCTAACAAGATACTTGTTCATTCTATGCATTCATCTAAATTCCTTAGTAAACAAAACATCCCCGATAATAAAGCGAACGTATTAGTAATAGAGAATGTAGAGAACCGGAGACCCTTTTTTACTGGAAATGAGGCATTCCATTTTAGGTCTCAGAGGTGACATCACAACTGCATTTTGATTCTTATTTAAAGACAGAAATACAAAGATCACTTACCATCAGGTGGACTGCTTGCATAATTCTCACCCTTATTCTATAAACTATAACAAATATAAGGGTGTCTCTTTACCGTAAAAGACAGCCCACTCACATTGGCTCCTACTTTCCAGGTATTTATGTATCTTTGGAGTACTGTGACAACCGTCAGTCTTTAATGGTTGAGATTTCTATTCCCTATATAAAGCACAAGTTCTGTCGTTCTTGAAGTACTGCTGTCAAGCTGACATATAATATGGACTGATGCTACAGTGGAATTTGCTAGTGAATAACTGAGAAAAATTAACATTGATGATACCGACGTCTATTGGAGGACAGAAGGTCTTTCAGGTCTATCCCTGATCGGGATATTTTTAATTTTAATACAAGTAAGTTTGATTTCATTTGACATTATTATAAACTATCTAAAATACTTACAACAAAATCGATATCATCGTAACCGCTCTCCATGAAGAGTGGCTCGTAATCATGAAGGCCAAGACTTGACAACCAGTAGCCCAAGTTCGAAGTAACCGACGGACTCAAACTGGATTCGGAACAGCTCAAGCCGAGTCTCGTAGTGAACTCCTGTTCCAGCTCGGAAACGAAGACGGACTCCCGAACGAGTTTGCTGCCGAACGATGCCATTATCTCGGAGATCTTCGCCCATTCCTCCTGATAGGAGAAAAAAAAAATAGAATTGAATACAACGTCTTTTTAAAATACCTATGTAACATTTACATTAAACTCATTTCAGGGTACGCATACAAAATATTTTATTTTAACATGCTTTTATTCGCTTTGCGTGTATGTATCTATCTATGTACGGAATCATTCAATGTAATTTACACCAACTTGTAGACGGCCGATGGACTTGAAAACTTGCACTCGTGTCAACGAGAGTAAGTTACACATGATAGAGCTACGCTGCAGCTATATCATAGTTGTAGCACGAATGGGTCGCCTCGACCGGGTAGGACCACTCTCTCACAGAATACCAGCGTAAAATAGCAGCGTAATGCTGTCGTGTTTCGTATGGTGAGTGTAGAGAACCGAAAAACCTTTTAACTGGAATCGAGGCATTCCATCTTAGTCCTCATGGGTGACAACGCATTTGCATTTTGATTCTTGTTGTCTATGGGCCACAGCATCCACATAACAGGTGGACTGTGTGCTCGTTTGTCACCCAATGCTATAAAAAACGACTAATGAAAATACAGAAATTTAATGACCTTATCGTAGTTTAGGATAAAATAAAAGACTCGGGTTAGAATCGATGCGTGTCTAATATTATTAGTTATTTATTAATATACTAATGATGTTTATTTCCTGGTCAATTTTAAATGCGCCAAGATAGCTCCGGCTCTCTACAGCTTAGTGACAGGAATAGGTAAGAATGTGATGCCTAGTATAATGCACATTCCCAATTTATATAACTAACCGACCAGTTTTGACTTCAATGATAATGCCAAATTTTTCATGCGTTCTTTTTCTCATAATGATTATCGTAATAATTTCTCTACTAGTTCGACGAATTAATATCTCCAGCATCAGAGGTACTAGGATAGTCACTTAATTAAGTGAAAACATATTTGCACTTTATCTCTTGCACAATAAAAATACGCATATAGTCAAATAACAGTTATTGTTTAATAAAATCAGTCAACTTTGACTATCGTCAGCTATCGCACGAATATATTATGCGTGATGAAATCATAGCGCACGCATACCGATAGTTGGATACATGCAAGATAAAATCCAAGTATGGAATATCGTTTCGAATGTAATACAATGACTCGATGTCAGGAAAATTTAACAAGGTATATTTACAGCAGAAAGAACGGTCTACATTAGGTTTTTTGTGTTTGTTGGTTTTTTTTAAAACTTTTTAAATGAATTATAGTTGTTGTAACGTAGTAAAATAGTGAAAAAAAAATTTTTTTTCTACATAGATTTAATTTTAATATTTGCAATTTACTACACCGCACCGATTTAGAGAGACCGACCTAACTTAATTATATCCAACATAAAGAGGCCGTGTCACGGCAGTGTAAAAAAATTAACCCTATTTTATTTCGTCTCTTATTGTTATTGCACATCCTCCTTGCATCGAGAGAAGCCCATTTCAGATAGCGGTCTTTTGCAGGTTAATAATGATGGATATTACAGATTTAATTCGTGTTAGCTAGCTTCCTGTGCGTGTCTGTCAGGTATCACAAGGTACATATCACCGAAAAAGATTGGCTATTAAACATACCTATGCCGATATATGGAATCGACTTCAATACATTAAAAAAATATGATGCCCTTAATACAATAACACCTACAGTAATAATATCCACAATTTGCCTCAACCTGCAATTTTTTAACACCTGCCTACCTGCATGTCACACGCAAGCATGCAACATTAACAGCTGTCTTCGACAATAATAATTGACGCTTGCGACATAAATTTAATAAGGAAATTACCATTCTTTATTTCTCTTAAATTTGTTTTATACTTACATTTTTTTACTATGTTCTTCTGTACTAGATCACCAGACAGACATATAGCGTGTAGTAGTTAAAAAAATCTAATTTATTTCCTTAACAACAGTGTAGTTACAACAATAAAAATATAGGTACAGTTGTCTAAGTACATAGGCATTAATATAAGTTTTATTTAGCAAGAAATAGGAATTTGTATTGTGACTCAGGCCCGGTTCACATTTTGAGAAGTGACAAATGACAAGTGTTTAGTGGGAATTTTATTCACACTTATCACTTGCCATTGTCTGTTCACACGCACTAAGTACTTGTCGTTTGTCTAAAATGACCACTACATAATTTCAATATCCCGCCATTTCGGTACCAGTTACTCGACTTCACAAAGTCAGTAATTCATTCTTGGGGCAATGTATACGCTTTTACAACAAAATCCTAGAATATATACAAAATTTGACGTAAGTACACAAAGTTTAAAAACTTTATTAAACTAAGTGTGTACAAAAAGGGTTATTTTAATATTAAGGAATTTATGGATGATAATAACTGCTGGGAAGTGTGATCGCTACCAAGCTATTCCTAATTTGTTTTGTGTTGTTAATTGTAACATGCATTATTGTAAGCTCTTATTTAAAAAAAAATGTAGTACCGTTGGGTTTCTTGCTGGTTCTTCCAGGACAGAGGTTCTTTTTGCAAACCAGTGGTTAATAAAAAAGTGACTTTCAATAAGTATTATTCATAATCTATATTGAATAAAAAAATTCTGTTTCTGTTTCGACAGCTTACTGTGCATATTATTGTGATTTTTTGTTTGTCTTCTTATTTTGTGATTCTGCTTTAACTTTTTGGACTGTTCTTCTATAATAACTTTTTGTACACTTCTCAAAAAAAGAGCCGTGGTAGCTCAGTGGTTAACGCTCGCTGTAAATATAACGGAACGCGAGTAACCCGGGTTCGATCCCCGCCGGCACCAATGAAATTGTTAATTGCAATTTTAAGTGCTGATTTACCACGTGCTCGGCGGTGTAGGAAAACATCGTGAGGAAACCTGCATGTCTGAGGAATAAGAAAAAAAATATTTCGAAGACATGTGAAGTTCGTCAACACACATTTGGGCAGCGCGGCGGACACTTCCTTGCCCTAAACCCTCTCAGAAATGAGGGGAGGCCTGAGCCCAGCAGTGGGACGTATATAGGCTGTAACTTTACTTTACTTTTACACTTCTCAAAATGTAGACAGGGCCTTACTGTATCATCTACGTTCTTTTCTTTTAAAATTATTAATTGAAATTATAAATCAAAACCTACTTAAGTTACAGTTATAATGCATGTTGTGTTTACTAGTAAGTAGTCACTACACTTAGCTTAAGAAACTTTTCTGTTATTTAAGATTGTTATTGTGTAAGTTGACTATTAGTAAACCATATGAATAAAATAGAATAAAATGAAAATAAAGTAAATCTATTTCTCTAAAAAAATGTAACACAATAATACACATAATTATTTATTTATTAATTAATTACAAACAATCAGAAGTCCACTGCTGAACACTGGCCATCCCTCATAAATTGCTTCCTTAGGGTATTTAATACAGTTGTCACGCTTGGATTTTTGAAGTAAAACTTCTTTACGCACGCTTGACTTGGGGAGTAAGCCGGCGAACAAGTGACGAAAGCGTTACGAAAAGTGTGAGCGGGCGTAGCGAACGAGAGTTGAGTGGGGGATATAAGGAAGAGAGAGCAGTGCGCGCGCACATTTTCTTTCTCTCTTAGTATATGTTTCGTAATTTTTTCATTATTTCGAGATGTTATCAGGCAGATGCCGCTGTCTAACTCCTGGTCCAGTTCTCACTGTCGTCTCATACCCACGGGATGATTTAGGGTAGTTGATTGGATTACGCCTGCATTACACAACAATTAGCACTAATATTATTAACTTCCGGAAGCATTTTTTGAAATATATAAAGATTTTTCTTAAATATTCGGAATTAAAGGAAATCTTTTTCTTTTTGCAAATGCGAACGAGCCAAAAAGAAGGTTATGGTATTCCTGGGTGGTATGTAGGCATGTATTTTAATTGTCCATCAGCAACTTGATTTGTCAAAATTTTGCGTGTAACCGATTTTCTTATTCTCAGATAAAATATATTTATCGTATAGAATACAATTGTTTCACTTTTATATTCATATATTAGTTGTAGCACGAATGGGTCGACTCGACTGGGGTAGGACTATGCTCTCACAGAATACCAGCGTAAAATAACAGTTAGCACTTAAAATTGCTATTAATAATTTCATTGGTGCCAGCGGGGATCGAACCCGGGTTACACGCGTTTTGTTATATTTACAGCGAAGGTTAACCATCTGAGCTACCAGATTCTATCTTAATCCTTAGTTGCGACAACGCATCTGCATTTTTATTCTTATTCCAGAATAAATGTAGATGTCTATGGGCCATAGCATCCACTTACCATCAGGTGTACCGTGTGCGCGACGGTTATTCTATAAAAAAAGTTATAACTTTTTCGAAAGATAACCTTATAACGATTGAAAAGTTAGCCCAGCATAATGTCATTAGAATGGAAAATAATTATGACTAACATTTTCTGTCCAAAACATGAGTATCTACGAAAGGCATAAACGAGTATATTTCAAATATATGATATATTGTATTACTATCGTTTCCCCTCCGTGCTCACAAAAACATTTGAATAAGTTAAGTATTCAAATTCCTGTACTAAAACTTGTTGCTTTTATCGCGGCAATTTGCATATTTGTATATGCATGCAGTTTTTCGTGTCAGGGTATCATTATCACTGTATCCTTGAGTTGTACGACGTACAACTTCACTAGGGATGCAGTATTACGTATTACGGCAAATCGATGTTATCGATAACATTGCATTATTAATATTATTATCTAAATACACGCAAAAGTGTCCACTGCACTAAAATATGTTTTTGTAATGATTTCTTATACTTACGCGAACATTACACATTGAAATAATACTAGTTTTTACGGATTTTATCGCGTATATTCAACTATAAATATCCGACGTTTCGAGCGATCTACACAGTATGAACTTAAGTTCGGAAGGATCGGAACAAAAGTTACATTTTTATCTATGGTAACCGCTGTTAATTATGACATTTGGACGTTGAACATCTCAGTCCTCCCCGTGACCATGGGTGCTGTAAAGCGCTAGAAACGTCGGATTTATAGTTAAATATACACGATAAAATCCGTAAAAGCTAGTATTATTTCAATATGTTTTTGTGATATTAACGTTTAGTGTTGCCACCATCCTATATCATCCCGACAACCGTGCGTAATGGAACATAATATGGACAGCAGCATCTATCTAATAAGAATTCAATAAAAAGCTACGGTTGTCAATCCACCTGCTAAACGTGGCAACTATGGCAAATATTCGCGCATGAGGCAATCTATAAGGAAGGCCAATTTTAAGCAGTGAACTTTTGAAAGACTGTAAAGAATGAATGAATGAACGATGAATGATATTAACGTTTAATGTATAGATCAGTATTTAATGATCGTGGATTGTTTGGTTTTGTTTTGAATTTGTGAGCATTGTGCTGTTATGCAAGAGACTTTTACTACATCATTAGAATTTTCTTCTTTGGAGTTTTGTTGGAATTTTTATTACTGTATCAAATTAAGGACTCTAAAATTTTTTTTACAAAACCAACAAAGTGACAAACGAACTTATAGTCCACTTGACGGTAAGTGGTTACTGCAATCCATGGACACTTACAGCCAACTTTAAACGAAGAAAGCTACAAGATTATACTAGCTCTCTAAACCCTTCAGAACACAACAGCACACGCACTGCTAATCAACAGCAGAAGTAAAATTATTATGGTATTTTATCAGTGTGAATTGCATAAACGCTTATTAAAACTACCGAGTGTCGACGATTTCATCTGCGAATGTCATTGAAGGTAACTATGGTAATTGCCGTAACGATTTTATGGTTTTCGAAGAGATATAACCATCCCATTTACGCTAACGTAAAATAAACAAACAGGCAATGAAGACCAGCGTTAAAGTTGCAACATTTGGTACTGTGTTCGTCAATCCGTCTGTCAAGCGTGAAAAATAGCAAATCGTTTCCATTGTAAGGTAGAGCCATGCTTATATATTACTGCTTATAGGCTGATAAAGAAAGAAAAGCAGACTTTTCGTACAAGTCGTTAACTAACATATAAAATATCAACATGCTATCGATATTTCTTGACATCCTTACCAATAACACAACCGCATGTGTTCTAACTGTGTACTAATTTCCACCTCTTCCTGGCATTGTAACACTCGACTGCAACTTTAAAACCATTGATGGCACGTCATGGAAATTCATCTAACTTATTTGTACAAAATAAATTGTCGCGATTCGACACTACAACAATTTTAAACGACATTGAAGGATTAGCAGTATGTTTGTCGAAAAATATTATGCAATATGTAATATGGTTAAAACAGTAACAGTTTAAGTACATGCAGAAATCGATATCTACGCAAATTACAATTTATTTTTCGTTACTTTCGGGTGGTATTAAATATCGAATAAATCTGTCACAAAATTTACAAAGAATAATTTTCTTTGTCCTCGTATAAGATTTCATTTGTTTATTTATTATTAAAGAAAAGCTAGTGGGTATTGCAGATTTTTTGAAATTATAGTAGATATTTCTACAAAGTTAAAATATTTCAGAAAAATATTTTTTCACAATATTAAATCACATTATTTTAGTCTATATCATTTCAGTGAAAAATCAGACATCATTTAAGGAAACGTTCCTTGTTATAAATTTCGGTATTAGTATCTGAAGTGGAGCCTAAACATTAAAGCTTAACCAAAAACTCTAGTGTGTCTTTCTTGTTTTACTGAAGCTTTGTTCGCATTTTATTTGCACACACTAACGCACAAAAAAGCAGACTTCACAGGTCATTTCTCTCCCAGTCCCAGTTTTACTTCTTTTGGTTTATCAACTCGTAAAATTCCACTTCTGATTTATTTTTTATTAATTTATTGCACAGATAACAAACAATAGTTTAGTGCCAATAACGAATATGAAGTCAATAGAGGAAGACTGCATGAAAATGTCATCATTGACATCTTGACATTGGCCACTCCCTATAGCCGTCTCTTAGGACATCCAAAGGACGGAATGGTGTGACAATTTTCTTAAGCTGGTACCACACAGAAAAGCATGTCTCTACCACCTATGTTTGTATGTACTCATTAAGTTCAACAACGATTCAATTACGTTGAGTGTATTATTAAAGTTTTCTGATCAAAAAAGTAATTAAATAAGCGACTTAAGCAACCATAAATAGATTATTTGAAAATGTTCTTAATTTCATCAATATAAATAAAAATATGCCGTATGGTATCACGCCTTACACCATATTATTATAGGAAATAATCTAAGAGATTAAGAAAACTTAAACAAACGCATTAATCGTGAGGTGGCATGATCCTAGTAAAAATGCTAGGTCATAGTCATTATTATATAGGCATCGGTTATTAATATGTCTGCAAAACATCAGTTTATCCAGAAGCCTAAAAGTGCCAAAGCATTACCTTCACATCTATCAATGGCAAATATAGCGCCTATGAGTTAATCATAGGAAATATATCATATCACGAACGGCTCGACCGGAGCAGGACGACGTTCTCATAGAATACCAGCATAAAATAGCAACGTAATGCTGCTGTGTTTGTAGAGTGAGTGTAGAGAACCGGAGACTCTGTACTTACTTCGAAAGTTCCTACCTTAGTCCTCAGGGGTGACAATGCATTTGCATTTAGATTCTTAATGTGGATGTCTATGGGTCACAGCATCCACTTACCATCAGGTGGACTGTGTGCGAGTTTGTCATCCACTGCTATAAAAAAGAATAAGGCAATACATAGGATGCCTATATTCTGCAGTGGATTATTATAGGCTGTAACGGAAAGTACATAGAGGTCAATAAAGCACATGGAAATATGTATGCAATTGGCAAAAGCTCACCTGCTCATCGAACGGGCTGAGTATCGACAGCGATTTGTCCCCGCTGTGTGTAGAGCTCGTAGTGTTGCTTCGTCTCCTAACTTCGTCCTCGACACCGTTGATATTCCTCTCCACCTGTCCATTGCTGTTCAGGTTCGTGTTGGTGATCGTCGGTGGATCTGTGGGCGACGCGTCGTACACTGACTTCAGTTTCCGCAACGTCTTCGGCCTTTCGGCTGGCATCGGTCGCAAACCGATACCGTCGAGTGTTGTGGTTGAGCCTTTGAAGAGGCCTGCAGGCAAAGAAATAAATATTTTATCAATTGCGGTTCCAAATAACAACATTTTATTTGACAAAAAATAGCCAAAAAAGAAAACAAATGTATTTGTGAGAAAATTTCATGAAAAATGTACAAATTATTAATTGAAAACAAAGTTGAATTTATTGCGCTTTAATAATGATACTTTAAAATAATTTTAAGCTACTCATAGTAAACTATAGCATTTTTATACCCCTATTGCAAGTGCTATATGTAAAAACTACCTTTTACATTGGTATCACGAATTTTAAGTAAGTTACACTGGGTATTAAATATTGGTAATGAGAAGCAGGTGTAAATTTTAAAAATAAAATGCAGGTGTACCAAACGACGATCACTCTTAAGTGGTAATGCACACTCAATTTGCGAAAGGTTGCGTTTACAACAACGTTGCGTTAACTAAAGTTAATAATAAGTTGTTCATTTAAAGGTCTGACGCATAAAATCAATTTAAGAAATGCTTAAAGTTATACTCGCTCCCTCTCTCTCATTTTTAATTGCAATAGAAAGAGGCATTTATTATCATAGTTAATACTTAATTTAGGTGAGCAATAATTAAACAAGAAAAAATATGGGATGAATTAAAACATCAAACCGCTCTCAATATTATATTTAGATCTCGCTAAGATTTAATATACCATGTAAATATGTATTCCCTTAGTAAAAAAGTCATCAATGGGTTAACCTCTGGACTTACCTTGCAAGACATGAATAACCGTAAAAATTACATAGAAAGCAATACCAGTATAAACTCTTTTTTTTTTGAAGATAAAGAAATCTTCTATTGTCAAGGAAGTCATCAATTGCACAAGAGAAATTATATTTTCTCTTTTATTTGTCTTAACCTGCTAGTATTTGATGTAAAGCATTTTATCATAAGATCGAAGGCTGGCAAGCAAGAAAGGATGCAGCATCAGAGAAACGGGGACAGTAAAACATATTTTATTTGAGCAAATGTTGTCCTCAACTGGCATTCGAGTCCTGTTAATACTTGACGTTATATTAGGGTAGGGACTGAAGCTCGGGTATGAGATATGATTACGTTGCATTATCCTGTGTTTTTATATGACGATGATCTAACGTCATCAATCCATAAAAGTACTGCTGGACATATTTTGTCTCTACCTGGAAAAAATTGTCTTAATTTGCCACCTGTAATGATACTGCCCGTCGCGGCTCTACCGGTTTAGTCGTCTTTCTACAATTGTAAACGCTAATATAAAAGGACATAAATAAGTGGGAATAACATAAATTGATTTAAAAATCATTATACATATATTTTTTTCCAAGTGCAGAAAGTAAACTTAGCAAACACGCTGGGTATTTTACTTATGTTTGGCGTAAGGAGATGATATACACATAATGTAAATAATGGGAAACCATAATGATTTCTTATATTTACGCGAACATTGCACATGATTAAAACTACTTTTACGGATTTTATCGCGTTTATTTTTACTTTTTATTTTAATTCCCGACGTTTCGGACACTTTCCAGCACCCATGGTCACGGGGGACTGAGATGACTGACGTCCCGATGTCACCGTTAAACCCGGAGTACCTTCAGCTTTTTTAATTATTGTTTATGGTCCGATCTATGCAAAACGAACTGACTATGTCTTGAGGTCTTGCAGTGGTATGCTTGGGTTTAGTTTTAATTTTATTGATTATAGGATCCCAAGCAGGTGGTAGTACCCAGCCTCCTTCTCTATTGAAATTAGGATGTTTTTTAATTTCAATAGCCTCACGTATCATCCTTGGTAGGAATCGGTGTTCTTTCGCGAGGATTTGTGGTCTATCAAATCTGATGTAATGGTTGGGGCCGTCTAGGATATGATCACAAACTCTGTGTCTGCAGTTTGTGATCATATCCTAGACGGCCCCAACCATTACATCAGATTTGATAGACCACAAATCCTCGCGAAAGAACACCGATTCCTACCAAGGATGATACGTGAGGCTATTGAAATTAAAAAAACATCCTAATTTCAATAGAGAAGGAGGCTGGGTACTACCACCTGCTTGGGATCCTATAATCAATAAAATTAAAACTAAACCCAAGCATACCACTGCAAGACCTCAAGACATAGTCAGTTCGTTTTGCATAGATCGGACCATAAACAATAATTAAAAAAGCTGAAGGTACTCCGGGTTTAACGGTGACATCGGGACGTCAGTCATCTCAGTCCCCCGTGACCATGGGTGCTGGAAAGTGTCCGAAACGTCGGGAATTAAAATAAAAAGTAAAAATAAACGCGATAAAATCCGTAAAAGTAGTTTTAATCATAATGGGAAACCGTAAGATTTTGCTGATATTTCTAATAGTCGGCTCGTTCGACATCCACGAGACGAAATAACATGGTGAACTCTCTTGTTTTAACGCCACACAGCTGAGTTATTGTAAATGATATAAAATATTATATCAATGTAAAATACCACGTACTAATTTCAAAAGAGAATATTTCGAGTTTTAGAAACAAAATGGTTTTACCTACAAAAAAATACGCTGAGGTATCAATGGAAATTTAAAAAAAAAATACACAATAACGAAAAGAGAAACATGTATACAAATGTTACATTGAAAAAACGGGTCAGTAAAACAGAACGAGCAAACTGTTTCATTAATTGACTGAATTTTTTTGATTGAATTTAACTGAGATATATAAATGATCTTTTGAAACACCGTTGTTTGGAAAAAATCGTGCAATAAGAAAAGTGAAAACTAGTTTGGCATCAGCTGGTATCCGTGCCAAGGTTCTATAGATTCAGATATCACAATAAACCGGCTGTCTCACAACTAGCGCGTAAAAGAATATTTGTGAATTCACTCACCTTATGGGTAAACTCTTCATATAATATCCACTCAATTTTAAGGTGGTTGGATAGGATTAAAACAGTACACCTGATGGTAAGTGGATGCTGTGGCACATAGACAGGCTACATCTATCCTCGAATACGTTAGCTTCATTTCCAGTCAAAATTGTCTGTACTCTCATCAAGGAAATACAGACGCATCAATTTTTTATTTCACACTGGTATTCTGTGATAACGTAGTCCTATCCCGGTAGAGCTGAATCATTCGTGCAACAATCGTAAAATAGTTGCAGCATGGCTCTACCTCGCAAGACTTTCGTCTAATTATTAATTAAAATTAATAGCTTAATAAATATTAATACAGGAAACTTATACATGGTACCTATTGGGAAAATACATTGACAATTAACATCGATTACAGTATTTATAACGTCAATTTGGCCTAAAAATTACTACCTCCATTACTAGTAATATTCATCATATCATACATACATATTACGCTATTCATATCTCTATATATAAAACCCAATTGCCTTCCGTTAGTCTCGCTGAAACTCTAAAATGATTCGACTGATTTGGATGAATTATTTCGTGTGATGATGGCTTAGATTCACAATTAGTCCCGGTAGATGGCGGTGTTGTCGAAATACAGAAATAACTCATGCGAACCCGGGTCGCTAGTCTTTAATGAATACAAATGACTGTGATCTTTAAGGTTTTTCAAACGTTACATACATCTTATGTATATTACATAGAATTTGGTACATCAATATATTCGAAGTTATTAATCAAGGCTTTAAAAATACATTTCAAAATATAAAAAGTAGTTTTACAATTAGACTAGACTAGAGTCTGTTTGAATAAAGAAGTATGTACCGTGAAAATTTACAAATGAATATTTTTAAAGTATGGAATTCGACAGGAAGTATAAAATTTCGCGAATAAGGGGTGCCACTACGACTAAAGGTATTCTTTTGTGATAAAGACTCTGCTTTAAAGCATTGTATTAAATCTGAATATGTCTACTTTAAAAGTTCATGGGATACTATCTATTATCTTTCTATTACAGCTTACAAAAGTACACTTTTGAACAAAGACCTCCCCATAGATTGCCTCATAGGGGAGATTTTGCCATAGTTGCTACTCTTGGCAATATACATACAAATATTCGAAAGCTCTTACTTTGTATGTACTACGCGACGTACGTACAAAGCTTTCAAAGATCCCACAGTAGGGCACACTATGTTATGCACAATTATCAACGCAAACAATGTGAATTGATTCTCTTTTATAGTAGTAGTTCTATTTTATAGATGTTGGTTATTAATATTGTACTTTTGTATGTTTCGAAAAAAGTAAAATTAATAATTCTCGTGATTGTAAACATGACGTTTATCGGATTGTAGGTAGGTATTGTAATCTATACAAATAAATAGAATCGACGTGTCTATTTAAATTGTCAAAATAACTGCTTTTTACTAAATGTGTATGGTATTTATTACAAAAAAAAAACAATTTTAATTTTTTTTATCGGTCTGTCCGCCTATCCATCTGTCTATTTGTTTCGGCCTGCCTCTGAAATGGTTGGACCGATTTTGACGGGACTGTCATTGGCAGATAGCTGACGTTATAAAGACTTAGGCTGCTTTCATTTTAGGAAAAGAAAGACCCTTGAAATTCAATCGTAATAAATTCCACGCGGACAAAGTCGCGGGGCACAGCTAGTACTAAATAAAGATTAAATAGATAGCGTGTAACATTGGATCATCGGTTTGAAATAGCATATCGCAATCGGAAGCTAGGCGATAATTTTGTAACATGTTTAACCACTGATCAAAAAGGCATAACTCCAGACACAGCTCAGAAAATTATAAATCGTATTAAATTGAATTAAGGATTAAAATTGAGTAAATGAAATAATATGTAACTTCGAGTCAAAATTATGACTGAAATTTTTTGCTCAGTCTGTCATATATCATTACTACGCCAGTTTAGTCTTGTTCTGTTATAATTTAAGGAGTACATACGAATATTTTAAACTATTTCGTAAGTTTGGAGTGAAATATAGGACATTATTTTTTCAGATTCAACGTCAACGGACTAGTGATATGACTGCCATATAGATATAGATAATTATTGCAATTTCATGTCGTGTTTTATTTATAACTGTCCCCGGCTACTGTACTACCTTCCACACTTAAGTCAATTCTTCATTTATGCATATAGTGATCATCAAGTTTTAATCTATGGAATTAAAAATCTAGCTATAATCTAATGTACCTACTAGTGGAGGAGAATATATCACTTGAGAAACGAGGCAGTTATAGCAGGAAAACGTAGGTATTATGAAAGTTGCCAATGAAAGTCCTCTTGGCCAACCTCGAATACGACGATAACTTTAAAATGTTATTGGAAGCTATTAAAACTTCACAGGACATTATAAAGTCAAAAATGTAGGTGCAATAACAGGAAGCTATGTTGTCGTTAGATAAATTTTCAGATCAAATTATTATCCCATTAACTATACTGCAGTTATATTAGTAGTATAGTTGTAGCACGAATGGGTCGGCTCGACCGGGGAAGGACCACGCTCTCACAGAATACCCGCGTAAAATAGTAGCTTAATGCTACTGTGTTTCGTATGGTGAGTGTGGAGAATCGGAGACCTTTTTTACTGGAAACGAGGCATTCCATCTTAGTCCTCGAGGGTGACAACGCATCTGCATTTTGATTCGTAATCGAAGATATATGTAGATGTCTATGGGCCACAGCAACCACTTACCGTCAGGTGGACTGTGTGCTCGTTTGTCACCCTATCCTATAAAAAAAAAAAAGTAACTACTAATAGGGAGTTCATTCACAAAGATGTGATATTGAGGTCCATGGGTAAGATCCAAAACATAAAATTAAAACTGATCTCTGGAGACAACAACGCGGTCACAGACCACGCTTTAACTCTTGCGAGAAATGGAAGCCGGTGCAATTCAAGACAATTTGAACATAATAAAACGTTGAGCGCTGAACGATGTTCATTGTGAACTGTAAATTCAAATATAAAAGAACAAACCGTAGTATAGTAGTCATTTTTACTATTCTAATTTGAACATTTTAGGTTCAATTTCGAATAGTAAAAATGGTTTTACACTTTAATGCTGTTTAGTATAATATATCACTTTCTTAATTATGTAACATTTAATATAAAAAATTGTACAGGTTTTAAAATATTATACGTATCTATCTGGCGGCAGATGTTATTCTGTCTTTTCTAATAGATAGCGAGATGTCTTTCACTCTGAATTTACAGCGGATTTTAACGCTAGTGTAAATATAAGTCCACACCATCTGGATGCTTGTAGTCCAAATATATGTGGTAGAGCCATGCTGTAGTTATATCAGTAGAATAGTTGTAGCACAAATGGTTCGGCTCGATCGGGGAAGGACCACGCTCTCACAGAATACCAGCGTAAAATAGTAGCTTAACGCTGCTGTGTTTCGTATGGTAAGTAACCGGAGAATCCGTTTACTGAAAACGAGGCATTCCATCTTAGTCCTCATGGTTGACAACGCATCTGCATTTTGATTCATAATCGAGGATAGATGTAGATGTTTATGGGCCACAGGAACCCATTACCAACAGATGGACTGTGTGCTCGCTTGTCACCCTATCCTATAAAAAAATTTGGATACTAGGAGTTTTCTTCCTCGTACGACCCCTCTGTGGAATAGTTTACCGATTTTTCCACACTGATAAGACTTAGGGACCTTCAAGAAAAGAGCTTACCCCTTTTTTTGGCCGGCAAATCACCTGCAATTACCCTGGTGTTGCAGTGGTTCATGGGTGTCGGTAGTCGCTTTCCATCATGTTTTATTTTATCATAGGTCCCACGGTAGAACCAAAATAAATAATATAGTTCAACAAGTAAGTAAGCTAAAGTAGCATGTTGTTGTTATTGGCCATATGTGTGGGCACATGTTATTAGCCATATGGCTCGAAGGACCAACAATGGGGAAGGATGATTCTCGAGCCTTGTACCGATAAGCGAAGTATCCCGTACTGGATGGAGTGGCGGCCTGGTAAGACATGCAGGAAGTCAATAGTTGCAGGTGGATCGGGACCGTGCTTTGTGGCATTCCTTGGGGGAGGGACTTGCCTTAATCATCACGATCTCCAGGCGGAGTGACGACCGCAGCACCACACGTCGCGCACTCTGTTGCTCGTCGCCGTTCTAAGTACGTTTAGTATAAATAATATTATTATACCGCCATCTATAATAAACCATACACTTTCCTGACATTTCTGATCGTCGCAACTTAACACACCTACAGGAAGAAATCATTTCTTGGATTCATTTAAGAGGATACATTAAAAATAATTCGTGGTTTTAGATGCGTGGCTTAGCCCCTTATCGGTGAAGCTCACGGACGACTGAGGGGGTGTCAAAAAGAAAGAGCAATTACTTCATATACGCAAATTGTGAGTCCGAGCACGCGCTAGGAAAGAAATTAAGTAAGCAACAACTAAAACTTTTTTTTACAAAACTTCGTTATGGATTAAAAAACTATTTATGTCAACTTAGATATTATGATTATTAACTACGTTGTATTGGCTGAAGAAATATGTAACTCATTAGAGCCTACTTTACAATATTTTTCAATCGAGAAAATTAGGTACATGTCATCGTGTTTTCCTTTTATAAAATCCAAGTTCATATTATAGTCAAAAATTACCCAAAATAATAATAATAAATATACCAAAAATTGATTCGTAATCTATAAAACTTAAAGGAATATGTGAAATAGAAAACCACTAATATTTTAGAGGTATCACCTTATCGGCTCCGCACGCTACACTTTTACTTTTATGCTTATTTCTACGATGAAGGAAGTTCTTGTATATACTAAAAATATAGCTACTTACAGGATAAAACATCGTGACACATGTCTAAAACATTCATTAAACAACAGACGTATAGGGGGTTCTTTGACAAGCTCACACAAATGAACCCATAGTAAGTTACTTTGTTACATGAAAGAAAAATAAAAATGTTAATACACCCAAATGTCGACATCGTCTACTCGTACATCAGCTACTAAAGCGTGCAGCTGCATTTCTATAAGCATTTCAATCAAATTTAAACTCTATCTCAAAAGTAACTTAGTGGAAAATGCTTCCTATAAGTTTTAATATAAAAGTATACATAAGACGGCGAGAAGTGACAGTGGTTGCTACCAAGAACAATGATGGTGAAAACAATGGCGCATTGTGACCCATCGTGACACGGTGATTGTTAGTGTTGTTACCTAAGTCCGATACAATTATGATAACAATTACTCTAAGGTTTGTACTTAATTTATAATCATATTTAAATTTTACAGGTAAGCCAACAGGCTAGCTAAGATCCGTACAAATGAGGAACATACAAAAACCTAAGTCTAGATATATTCAATTAAAATGAAAGTAAGTAAGGTCGTCTTGTAAACTTACAGCAATAGTGACAGTATGAACTTTAAGTAACATCATGAACTTTAAGGCGTCAAGCATTACAATAATGCTTGATTTTTAGTAATCGTATATTATACGTAACTCACCAAATTAATTTACATCTCAGTGTTATCGCTATTTTTTAAAACACTGATTTTTAACAAAAACAGTGTGATATGGAAAACAAAAAACAAAAAGGTAAAAAGGGTAGGTGATGACTTAATAAGCGATAAAAATAAATTAATGTTTTTTTTAATGAAACAAACGAACGATTACTCTTAGGAACGTAAGTGGTCGACAAAAAATTTTAATTTTAATTTATTTCTGTTAAGAAATTCCCTGAAGCAGTCTGGAGTCAGGATGTTGGCGGTGTTTCACCCCCGTGTCTCGGAAAATACGTAAAGACGTTGGTTATGTGCCTAATGTCTCCCCGGTCGAGTCAGATTGCCGATCCAACGGACTATTAGTCAGGGAATAGGGAGCACACCTGTGCAATGTGCATGCGCAAATACTTGTCACAGTAATACCGTCGTACGCAGGTGGCTAGTCTCAGTTAAGATTTGCCGCCGTAACCAAAATTCGACCCGGAGTATATTATCAATTATCATACATATACAAGTTTATTATGAACCAAAACATCAAAATACGGTAATCTTTATGCCCTTTTTAAGTGTTACCGCAGGTTCTAGATAAATGAAATTTAATTTTTACGTCGAAAACTGAAAAGTTTTCATCACATTTATATAAATACTAAAGCAAGGTAAGATTAAAACTTGCCGTGAAATCGGTTACTACACCAGCAATTAGAGAAATCGAATGCAAAGGTTATAAAGAAATAGCTTTAGCGTTTCACTAAACATGTAGATACTAAGTTTTAGTCGAGACTCAATATTTGAAATATAATACTGTATTAAACTAATGCACTTCAGTTAAGAATATATATTAACAAAGCATTTTATAACTAACAGCATACACGAAGAAAAGATTAGCTCACTTAAAAGAAATTAAGGAAATTTGTCAACAAATCATATCAGAATCACTTACAATTTCCCATCAGTGTGGCGATCATTCAACAGGCGGAAGGACTTCAACGACGTCATGTCTTTATTAGTCACATTTATTTCAAGTGACACTACAATGTAAATATACACCATTGAATATTTATCCACACATATTTAAATCATTTTTCACTTTAAAAAAACACAAATCATCATCCGAATAGTGATACTTCAACAGCAAAGTGTTTTGAGGTTGCCCAAAACTAAACAAACGACAGATAAACTCCGTAGAAGAACAAAAAGGTCGCACAATACGAACGTTCGATTAGGCGAGCGCGAAGCAACTGCCGAAGCGAATTGCAAGTGAAGTAATATTGATAAAGCTATAGGTACGTCACATTTCGTCGTCCAATTTATTAGACTGCATCAATTTATTCATAAAGACAATTGCAATAGCTGTACTGATGTCTTTCGGAGTCGAGACGGGAATTAGGGACGCCAGACAACGGTCACGCGCCAAGAATACTCGTTGACTAACTTTTAGATCATTTCGTGTTTAAATGAAAGAATGCATTGTTGTGTTCCGGACAGTTTGTTTTGATAAGGGATAGCTTACAAAGTTGTACAGATAAGCTCTACAGCGTTGTCATCTTCCTTTTAGCATTTATCGCTTATCTCTCACTTGGTGTAATTGCCAATTTATGTTACTCACTATGTTATAACAAACGAACAACCATTTTCAATTGATTTAAAAAAAATAAGTTCGATCAGAAGTCGTACCCAGTCACAAATTTACATAATGTAGCCCGTAGAACCAAGTACTTCCATGTATTACACTTACTATGACTGAAATTCTAATTTAGGTCTTGATCTTCTTTATTTTTGGGAAAAGGTCAATATTTCAGACGACGAATGTCTTTTTTTTATTTAGTGTGACAAAGTACTTCGAGCCCGTGAATCAACGTCAAGTAAATAAAGCCAGATTCTTTGTCACACTATATAGGGCCCAAACCCCAAGCCAAACCCCTATGTAGCAGAGCCACTGTTGCAATTTAATATTTGCTCCAAGACTTTCTTTAAAAAGTCTTATTTAGTTAACTTAATCTTTTCGTGAATGGGTGCACGACAAACATTAAAGCCAAAGTCGGCATGGCTAATTAACAAATTTAAAAGGTGACTTGACTTTATTAAAATTACTAATACTCCAACGAATCTAAAAACTCCAGGTATGCCTAAAATGCTCGTGTTAAGAGCGGTTCACCACAGACCACAGTAGTTAAAAGGCAAATTCGAACTCAGGGCTTTCTGAGTTTGCAGTCGGCTCCTTTAACCATTTTCTCCTGTCAGTCATATTTCAATACAGTTGTTTATATTTCATCATCTTTCTTGCCGTATTTCAGTTAAATATAGTGTTTTTTTTTCTTGCCAAACGCTTGCTAAACTATTATTTCTACTTATAATACTGTCGAATATTAATTCCTTCTACTAACGAATATTATCTAGTGTTTATATACTGTAGAACTATAACTGGTTAAACGGGTATATAGAGACATTTAATACGTTTGAGTCTACCCATGTACAATTACAATTTAACATTGAAGTAAGCGATAAGATAGAGCAACGTGCAAACAAACAATCGCAAACATGCAAACAAGCGTGGTAGCTACGGCAAAATCCCCCCTACGAGACAATCTATGAAGGGGCCTATGTTCAGCAGTGGACTTTTACAGGCCATAATTGATAGAATGGAAGATAGATAGTGAGACCAGACGGCACCTCAGACTAGGACAAACATATAGGACGTTATGCATTACACGGTAATCACTGCACATGTTGACTGTGGCTGGAATTTGAACCTAGTATCTACCTTAAGCCACAAGTTTTTTTTTTAAATATATATATTCCAAATGCTGCTTTATTTTCGATATGTATAATCGAAGTTTAATTTATATTCGAGATAATTTTTATTGAACCGTTACTTTACAACTAAGCTGGCGTGTAAACGAATTGAGTCTCAATAATAATTCTTCGAAGATGCATTAAGACTAGATGAGATAGTGACCAGTTAGAAGATTTACATATTAAACTAAGCGCCTCCATAAGTTTATGGTAAACTTTAACTCAACCACAGTAGATTTATTGCCGTGGTTCACACTATCTCGTACTATCTCACGGTTGTTACGTCTATACATTTTCACTAAATAAATCTTACGAAGAAACATGTTTATAAATAGTAGAGCCATGCTAACTCTATTACATTTAAACACGTTTAGTTTCGCAGCTATATTATGGCTTTGATTACTTCGATCAACTATATGATTATATACCTGTCTCTATAATCAAAGTATTATGGTTGTAGCACGAATAAGACGGTTTGACCGGGAAAGAACTACACTCTCACAGAATACCAGCGTGTAATAGCTGCTTGATGCCGCTGTGTTTCGTATAGTGCGTATACATTGTTTACTGGAATCAACAGGTGTTCTATTTTGGTTTTCAGAGGCGTCAATGCGTCTGCATTTTAATTCTTAAACGATGATTGTTCTTGAGCCACAGGATCCACTTACCATCTGCTGGACTGTGTGTTGTTTTGTCATCCTATATATACAAAAAAAAATCATACGTATACAAAAAAAAACTAAGCCGTGGAGCCGTGGTAGCTCAGTGGTTAACTCGCTTAAGCTGGTGGAGCCGTGGTAGCTCAGTGGTTAACGCTCGCTGTAAATATAACAGAACGCGAGTAACCCGGGTTCGATCCCCGCCGGCACCAATGAAATTGTTAATTGCAATTTTAAGTGCTGATTTACCACGTGCTCGGCGGTGAAGGAAAACATCGTGAGGAAACCTGCATGTCTGAGAAATAAGAAAAAAAATTATTTCGAAGACATGTGAAGTTCGTCAACACGCATTTGGGCAGCGCGGCGGACACTACCTTGCCCTAAACCCTCTCAGAAATGAGGGGAGGCCTGAGCCCAGCAGTGGGACGTATTATAGGCTGTAACTTTACTTTACTTTTATACAAAAAAAAACTAAGCAAGAAACTTAAAGTCTGCGCATGTTGCATTGCAGTTGTACTCGTACCAACCAATAATGAAACAGTCGATTGGTAAAAAAATTACATGCCGAAATAAAATTTAGTTTATTATCTTCTTTAAAAACCATTTATGTAGTCGTAAAAAAGACGATGTTTCTCAAACTAGGCATTATACACCAGTTTCCTTTTACTGCCGATCGATATCAAATTACATAAATCGATATCTTTGCTATAATAAAAATCGCCTAACTTTTTATTTAATTAATAACACATTTATATTCTATTACGTAAAATTTCCAAGCAGTTTTCGACGTTAGTTTGAAATTAATAGAAACTAAGCGTAGAGATGCAATAATTATAGCAATATATAGCGAAGACCACAAAAAATATACTGACGCAATCGCCATAGTAAACAAACCGCCTTCGTCTCGCTTCAACACGACACCAGAAACAGAAAGGCATGTGTAGACGCGCAAGGTCAATGTCATTCGGATCTTGGATGCGGGAGTTCTTGGAATCTATTGGTAAACTTTGAACCACTCTTTGTGCGATTAAGAAAAGCTTTCAATTTTTTTTTAACTACAAATTAGTATCTAATTAATTGCTTATGACCAGGCATGAATTTGCGGTTCCAAATAATCATTATGTACCTACGTAGAAACAACTTTAAAATATGCCTATTAGATATTATTACCGTGCCCATAGGCAAGACGTTTTAATGCATTCATTGCGAAATGTGATCTCGGAATTACCTACATAATGGGAATTTATATTGCTAATTGTCTAAGCTATTGCTATTGAGTAAATTACAATCTGGCTGATAATAAAAATGAAACAGCTGCACTAGAATAATTTATTTTATTTACAATAACACTGGACATTATTTTAATTATGTATATACTATAACTTATTTTACTTAAGAATTTTTATAATTGCAACGATTTGGAATTAAAAATAAATAAAATAAGTTTAATACCGAAAATTAAATGGGATAAAATTTGTAGAATTTGTTTTATTCAACTGAACGCCTATTTTTAATACAGCTGTAATTTTTAATTTGTCTATTTTACATTTTATTCTATAAATTTTATCTGAGGAATAAAAACTCGACCTTAAATACATAATAAAAATAACAACTTTGAATTAATTAAATGATTAGAGGCCGATTTTTCATTCTCTACATAAAATATATTCATAGGTTAAATTAAAATATACCTAACATAAACCAATTATAAATTACATTTTCATAATTAAAATGTTTTGTTTCAATTTAACATTAATTAAGTTGTAATTTATTTCATGGGCTTTGACTATATTACCTGTCTATATAATCAAAGTTCATGGGTAACTTTATCTATAAAAGTACTTGTTTATGCAGATAGTGTATGTAAGACTTAACAGAACTGCTGCTATCAATTTATTACCATATATACCATGTCTTATATTTTACCATCACAACTCTCCTTTAGGTGATAAGAGAAGCAATGATCATAACTGTGTAACTGTCAAAGTATTAAGAATTTTAACTAATGGAGTTGTTTTTCAGATCAGGTTATTTTCACCTACTATCCTCTCTTCATTCCATAGATTTCCTCATAGAGAGGATATTCACTATAGTTGCCACGCTTGGCAAGCGAGTTGGCAATCGGTTTTTGCTATTTTGAATTGTTATCAGGTAGATGCTGTTGATCATCTACTATCCCTGGGGATGATATGGGGTAGTGAATTCTCGTGAGCTTCTTGCCATCTTTTATCCTTAAACAGAAAGGGGTAAAAGGATGGACATCAAGCAAACAAAATTCTCATCTCAACGCATTTTTAAATTAAAAAATAACTTAAGAAAGAAAACGTGTCAGCGAGGAAACCACTTTTAATATAAAAATCAAGGGAACCCTCATAAACATAAACAGGCAATCGGTAACCCTATCTCGGACTTTTTACAAAACGTCACAATTTGTTACGATATAAAATTAACGCGCATTCAAATGAGTCGATGAAATTTTTACTCACAGTCAATAATAATTAAGTTGATTTTAC